AATCGAACCCACTGCGCCACCAGGGAGTGTCCTGGAGTTTTAAAGAGATAACTAGTTATTCTGATTGTATCATTTAGTTGTCTTTTAAAATATGTATTTTATATATTATTTTATCTGTTAGAAAATGAGGCAGTAAACTGTAGAGGAAAAGTTCTTTCTGGAAGTTAGTACTAAGTTGGAGGCAACAAATTCGACCTCCCTTTATTCTGAAATTGGCAAGAGGGAAGAGATTCTAGACGGGACAATGCTATGTAGTGTCTCCAGAAAGTAAGCATAAGGCAGTGCCTTAATATTCAGGCAACATTTTTCTTGAGTATTGGTCCATGAGAGATTGGAAATTCAAAAAGAAAACCAAAACTGTTTTTGACCCGAGAAGAGCTAACATCGAATAGATATTATGCTTACTGGAAGTGAGTTCCTGTGCTACACAGAAGTGAGCTTTCTGATTTATACATTGTATTTGGGTTGATGTCACTTTGTCTTTGATACAATTTGACTGTGTGCTGATGATGCTTCTTGACCTATAGGACTGGTCCACCATTTGCCAAGTAGATGGTACTGTGTGAAGTCTCTCTGCAGCTAGCTCACTGGCTGGCCTTTCCCACCAGCTGCCTCTCAACTTTGCTGCTATATTTACGTTCATTTCATTATTGATAACCTCAACAAAAGACAAATTGCCACTTCCTAGTCATAGTCTGAAATTTTTATTTTGGCATCATGAGTCTTTTTACAAACATCTCCACCGGGATTCCTTTTTTCCCCCTAGTTATCTTGCTTTCATATATGTGATTCAGAATCACCATTTTGGAGTATTTTTAGTACTTTTCTGTTCATGAGAGTAGTGGTCCTAAGTGAAGATTTTTCTGATGAGCATTAATTAGTAGAAGAACTAAGTTTAGAGGCATAAAATGGGGGGGGGGAATTATGAATTATGGAAAGATATGTGTTGTAAAGTATGATTTGTCTTCTTAGCCGAATGATCTGGCAATTTAATCTCTATAAACCAGTTTTCTATTCTGTATGGGAATAATAGCAATAATAATAGTAGTATGTTCTTTAAGAAGTGTTAGAATTAAATACTCTAAGTTAAACACAGAACTGGTACTTAATAAGTTTTACAACTGTTAGCTGTTGTGTTTGTTTTTAATTAACTCTCCACTGAGTGACAAGCATGTAAAATCAAAGGAGCCCTCAGTGGGTACAGGATTTGTACAAATACATCAGAAAGGTAAAAAATAATGGGAGAGTTTAGTGCTATTATAGAAACACTGGCTCATGAGAACTTTAAGGACAAACAGCTGACCCAGGTAGACTTTGAGGAGTGAGATCAAGGTTACAGCAGACCTAAAACTTGTGGTGGAATTATGAGCATTTTGGAAAAAGTAAACATGTGCAAAGGCATGGAGGTGAGAGTTTGGTGGAATTCTAGGAAACTGGAAGTCATGCAGCATAACTAGAGTGTTGGGTGTAAGTGAGGATGGTGCTGGAGAAGTGGTCAGGGACTGACCATCAGAATAGCACTTTTATTTTATCTTGAGGCCATTGGTGAGCTAATGAGAAATTTGTTACAGAGGCATATTTAATCTAATTTTCATTTCATTTCAGATTTTCATTATAGAGACTGGATTTGGGAGAAAGACTGGAAATGGGGATTTTTTTTAAGGCTATTTCAATAAGTAGCAAGGAAGGGTCAGATTCAGAAACAGGTGGTAGTAATTCAGTGAGGGAAGTGGATTTAAAATAAGGTGAGAATGAACAGCATTTGGTGGTAGGTCATATACGGACTTGAGGAGACTTGAGATTTTTGGCTTTAGTGACTGGGTCGATGAGATATCCTCTAAAACAAATTAAGAAGAGTTAGATTTCAGATGAAACACTGACTTTTGGATTTAAGATATCTGCAGACTGTTCACGTGGAGCTCTTCTATGAAAGTTTAAGGTTAAGTCTGAGAATCAGGAGAGAGCTCTGAGCTGGAATGCAGGGCATAATCTCATTTAAATCTGTAACAACCCTGAGTTAGGAATATAATCCCAGTTTTACAAATGAGGCTCTTTCGGCCTTGATGAGGTTAAGTGATGCATGCAAAGTGGTTTTGCTGCTAAATGACCGAGCTGGGATTCGAGTCCAGGCTTTCAAAACCCACTTTTTCCTGCCATGTCTCATTTCTTTGTAAACCTGACATTTAAAAATGTCATTTAAAAACGACATTATCTTTAATTCTCTCCCCTCTTCCCCTCCCCCCCGTTTTATCTCTACCTGTATCCTGATTTAGCAGGATTTTAAGTAACTTTTAAATAACCGCTTTTTTTGATTTTCCCCTACTTCATTCCGAAATGCACGCATCAGATTGCCTTTCCCAACAGATTGGTTCATCCCACTCTCCTCTACTCCAGTATTGCTTTGCAGCAACATGCTGACCAAGCCCTCCACTGGCTCCTGGGTGAGGCCTGTCCTCCTGGGCTTGGCACTCAAGGCTCACCATAAAGCCCAAGAGCTGTTTGGAACCCGTTTGTGTTTCACATCTTTCATCAGCACACATTCATGCATCGGGTATCGCTTACTTTCAGATTTCCTTCACTTGCTGTGAAGGACCCCATTTTAATGCTTAGATTGAATACTCTTCGATTACTCAGATGATACAGCTCTGTTACCAGCTTTTCAAAAATAGTATCTTTGAAATACACGCCGCTTAGATATTGTCTGACCTCGGTTCCACACCCACTGTGAGCTAGCAAGATTTCCTCTCTATACCCAGGCTCTGTCGATGCATCCACCTCTATCCCTAACGTGATAAGTCGCCATCTCTCCATTTTCTAGAGGGGTCCTTTTTTTGGAGAGTGGAAAGTAATTTAATCGTTAGAAATTCTTAACTTTGAGTCAGAGTCTCCCTTCCTTCAACATCCATTTGTTTCCCAGTACCTGCCTGTGGAACCACAGAGAAGTCAGCCATTTCTCCTCTTCCTCACGACGGTGCATCAGACACTTGGCGATAGCTCTTAGATCTCTCCTTGGTCATCTCTTAAGTCAGATCATCTTTCCTGCTCAGAACTTTTCTTCTGTGACAATCTCATGCTCTCTACTGTTCTTTCGCCCTTCTCTGAGAATTCTGGAGTTTTGTTCATGCCTCATTGAAACACAGGGCCCAGGGCAGAGCACAGTACCCTGGGTGAGCGATGTAGCATTATTCCTGTGATTAGGCCTTGTGCTTGTATCTGAAGAGCCTGAGATGTCTTCGGCGTTATAGCAGTCTGGCCACATTCCCCACTCGTTTGGTTAAAACACCCAGGGATTTGCACAGCACCCTGGGAGAGCAATGTAACATTATTTCTGTGATTAGGCCTCGTGCTTGTATCTGAAGAGCCTGAGATCTGTTTGGCGTTACAGCAGTCTGGCCACATTCCCCACTCATTCGGTTAAAACACCCAGGGATTTTTACGCAGGTGGCAGTTCAGCTACTCTGCCCTCTCCTCTGCTGTGCAGCTGATTTTCTTTTATGTAAATCTAGACCTTTTCCTGATTTTCTTAGCTATAGCTATGTTCATCTTCATTTTCACTCATCTTTTGAGCCAGTTACAATTTTGTTAGCCAGTGTGCTCTCACTGTGTTTCCCAGTTTTAGGTCATCAGGAGATTCTGAAACACACTTTCCACGTCTTCCTTCAAGTTCTTGATGCAAAAACAGAGGCACTGCACTGCGCCCAAGCCCTGCATTTATCCTTGAGACTACCAGACCACTGTTTGTCACCCATCTGTGATCGCTGTCTTAACACAGAGATTTCCTTTGTACTTTCAGCCAACTTTTAGTTAGCTCCCACTGAAAGAAAGAAGGGGCTAGCAATACCATGAAGACAGCAGTCCCTGTCTTGTAACAGTATAGCGATACCAGGAGGTATTTTGTTACCTGTTCTGTAAAAATCAGGTTGCATAATTTTCTGATACTCTCCTTTTCTGCTAATATGAAAAAAGAGTATGAGGATTTTTTTTTTTATAGGCAGTACTGGCTACTAATGATCTTATTACATCACCTAAAAATGGAATTACCCCCTTTCTCATTTTACCTTTCACAGTTTCCCAGTCACTGAAATTTGAGTCTCTGGAGTCGACCATGCCCTCTCTGGTGACTATATCTTTTAAGTCTCCAACCTCACTAGAAAGCAGCCTGTTTAGCCACGTTTTGTTGTTGCCATGGTGTTTAAAGGCCTCTCTCTTTGCATATTATGAAGATCCTTCTCTATTTTATAGGAACTTAGCATGACGAATTTAGTTGGAGTGGCCATTTTCCCTTCAGTCTTTGGCATTCAGATTTTGTCATTATATTTTGAAATGATCTCTCCCAAGGAAAATAGCTGACCTCAAATTTTCTTCTTTTTATGCTGTAATTGCTGGCCTTGGGTCTGATTCTTTTCACACAAACCACTTATTTCTTTCAGGTGATTAGAATTAATCCCAACTGAGCAAAAGCTGTAACAGCTTGTCTGTATCCAGGAGGATTAAACTATCAACAATGCAAAGGCCTTTGTTTTAATAAGAAAATTATTGAGGACACATGGTCATTGTTTGTAGAAGATGCGCACCTGACTTCTCAGGTGTGGATTCTTTTGTCAGTCAGTTGTCATAGATCTTTCCTCTGACTGACCAGTCCCCAAGTCCACATTTCTCCCCACTCTTCTCTCCCCGTTAGCTACAGTGCTCTCCACCTTAGTGCCTCACTCAGATTGTTGGGTTTGCACATAAATACTTATTTTCTTAAACAGTTGTGAGGACTCTGCCTTTTTCTGTGGACCTGGCTTTGGAACAGCAAATTCCCTACAGTTGTCGTTGTCGGTTGTTACCCTCTATTACCCCATCCCACCAGGTCTTGGTACTTTCCATGAGATTTTATTTTCTCCTTGAGTTCTTTTGTTTTCTTGTTGCTACTTTTAAGTATCGTGCCTAACACACTAATGTTGAGTAAGTGGTATTCATGATTAATCTCAAGAAGTATTTGCCTTCTTTTTTAGGCTGTGAGGATATCATTGCTGAGAGCATCTCTTTAGATACCTTAATTGCCATCCTCAAGTGGAGCTCGCACCCATATGGCTCTAAATGGGTGCACCGACAAGCTTTACATTTCCTCTGTGAGGAATTTTCCCAGGTCATGACTTCGGATGTTTTTTATGAACTCAGCAAAGACCATCTGCTTACTGCTATCCAGTCTGACTACCTACAGGTAATCATTTATACACCTCAGAAATTCATTGTCATTCGTATGTGCCTCAGAAAACCCATCTGTACTCTATTGTTCTCCCATCAGCAGTGATCCAACTCCCTCCATGTCCTCTTCAGATTTGTACAACAAAAGCTTCTGGTTCTCTGGCCCTTCATGCATGCTGCTGCCATGACTCAGCATTGTAAGCCAGCCAGGTCCTAAACTGTGTCACCAAAGGGGTTGAGGCAGTAGGCACAGTTGGAGGCATACCCCAGCAGTCGTTTTCTTGACTTCCATCGACAGTAGATTCATTCTGACAGTTTCTTACTTTTGGTAGAGTATCAGATATTTAGACTGTACACAGTAACTTTAGCAGCACAAAGAATAATACTCAACTTCTGATCAATTCAGCTGCTGCTTGGAAAATGCTCAATGTGTCCTACATATTATAACAGTGTTTAAACTCATTTTTAATTAGAAGTAGTTTTTTAGAAAATTTTGCATCGTTATGTGAGTGCTTAAAATATTGCAAAAAATACTTTCTGGTAAAGTATGTTTAAGTTTAATTTTGTGTTTTTGAATTGACTATGTGAACATTATGCCAAACTGTAGAACTATACAGTATTTCAAATGCTATAAGGATGTGAACTCATTGAGTCATTTCCTACTTCTTTTGTCTTTGTACTAGAAAAATTACAGAAGACTTTTCATCTCAGAAATGCTGTGAAGAATTAAATGATGTACTTAGCATCTGTTCGTTCCCTGTGCTTTGATTACAGTACCAGTGTTGTCATGACTGGATTTGACTGATTGAGGATCTGTGTTTATTAACCATGTTTCTCTGTCCTGATCCAGACTGAATTATAGGAGTTAGATTTTGTCCGTTTTCTTCGATTATTGTCTTTAGAAGCTTTGTTTCTCCTTAGAAAGTGAAAAACTTGGAGAGCAGTCTAAGATTTGCTTCAAGATGTTTAAGTACAAAGAATTGAGGGGCACATTGGCATTTTGTAGATGTTGTGTGAAGGGCTCTTCACCACTTGTTAGCACACCTCTGGGGATTCTAGTCTCCTCTACCAAAATGTGTGACCAGAGTATTGTTTTCATGTTCCTCCAGGAGATAATAGTCCCTGTATCCCTTTATGTTCACTTTGATTTACTTACCTCCATCTTCTTCCCAAAAGAATTTAAGGCAGCTGTGTAGAGAAGCCACATAGATATAGTAAGATAAAATAAATTTAAATAGTTGAAGAGAACAGAATAATGAAGAAATATAGGACTTAATAATAAAAAGTTTGCTTGCACTCAGGAGTGAGGTTACTCACTGAACAAAACACATGTAACTCATTCTTTGTATATTTGTTGTTGATGGGCCCCAGCTTTAACTCAAACAGTCCTAACAGACACACAGTGAATGGTAAGTTGTATTTGGCATGTACGTTATGACCTAGGAAGAGTTAGTAATGCAATTAATCATTATGTATTTCACTAAAATAAATATAAACCTGTTTTTCTTATAGGCAAGTGAACAAGATATCCTTAAGTATCTGATTAAGTGGGGCGAGCATCAGTTGATGAAAAGAATAGCAGACAGAGGTAAGCTCAGAAACTTAGCTTGTGCTCCAAGTCTTTCCCAAAAGCTTACTGAAATGCACACTGCACAGCAGTCTTGACAATGACTGGTACAACTGGTCATAGAAGAAGAAAATTTTACGATTGGCAAAATCCACTATTAGAGAGAATATGTTTGAAGTAAATACACCAGAAAATTTCATTTTACAACTTTGATAGGATGCTTTTAATGTTAGCTTTATATGTGCAAAAATATATGTTAATTGACATATGTAAGTATTAGAATGACATTTTTCATATAATCAAGTTCTGTAAAGTACACTGTTGATAATGGGCATGTTCCACAAAGGTTAGTGACCTTGTGCCCAGCCACTGTGACGTGCCAAAGCCACTGGATTACAGTTCAGAATGCTGAAAATAGCAGATGGTCAGATTTGTTACCTCAATTTTACCTTGATTTCAAAATAAATGGCTACACCCAAAGAAAAGCTTACTTGTTTGTTGTAAAATTTTGTGGAAGGTAAAGGAGAAATAATACTTTTGAATGACTTCCAACTGGGTTTTACTGCAGTCGGATGAAATAGAAGTAGCTTATAGGAGGTGGGCTTTTAACTCTGGAGGCTACTGAGTCTGACTTGGTATCAGTATTTTATTTATGTCTATAGTTAGTACACCCGCCTATTGCTCCTTCCTTCATAGAATACTATGTTCTTCTGTATAATAAATCCACATAAAAATGTTTTAATTAGAAAATGAAATACAGGTTTACTTTTCCTGTCGTTTTTTTAGCAGCTTTATTTAGCAGTAATTTGTACACTATAAAATTCACCGATGTTCAAGTCAATGCCTTACATAGTTCTGTCATTTTTAAATATAAAAATATGGTGAACTTAACTTTGAACCTTTTTATAGTGTTCCTTTATTACACTACTGCCCCATTACAGGGAGTTTGTTGTACTTCTCCTAATTTATTGCTCTGTGTCCTGCAGTTTACTTTAGCAGCTCTGAGAATTGAAATTTTTTTATGTAAAAACCACTATTAAGTATTTTCAAACACTAATACATAGTCTAGTCTCCACATTTACAGTTTCTGTATCAGTGAGTTCCTCTGCTTGCTAAATTTTTTTTTTTTTAAGATTTATTTATTTGTGCATACAGAACTGGGGTGCAGGCCAGAGGCTCAGCGGCGGTGAGAGGCTTCACCAGAGACAGAATGGGGAGCAGAACAGGCAGATCTACAAAGTACACTGCTGAGGGGAGCAACGGGTGGGTCAGGAGAGGTCTGCCATGCCATGTGGTCACCTCCAGGACGGACAGGCGGGAATCGAACTCATGAGGAAGCGGCCTTAGATTCTCAGTGCAGTGCTTTAACCCGCTGCACCACCAGGGAGGGCCTGCTTGCTAAAATTTAAATAATAAAATTAACCCCATAACCCATAGTCATGGCACATTTATAGTCACTGCAGACATCCTTAGAGTGACAAGAGTTTGAATCCCATCACAAATTCCCAATAGTGGAACAAGGTGACACTCTGCCTTCGTATCGTAAACAAGTGCCCTTTCCAGATTTTAGTGCACTGTTCTTATGAGGTTTGGGGGTGATTTTACTGCTTAACAAGTGTAATGTTAGTGCTGACTAGTGTTGCTGAGAGCAAGAAGGTGGTGTGTCTTGTGGAGCAAATAGGTGTTAGATAAAACTCCACTGCAGCAGGAGTTACAGCACCATTGACGCTGACTCAGGTAACTGCACTAACCCTCTACTAGTATGGTGTGTTTGAACAGAAACACATGAAATAGGTTATTATGTCCTCATCAGCTGACAAAAAGGTGAGACTGGTAGCTCTTAGGAACCTGACTGCGTATGTCCCTTAGGAGCAAGCTCATCATACTCGCTAAATTGGGAGTGATACTACTGCACATAACCCAGATAACAAGAGTGAATTGTATATAACATTGCTTTATTAGACCATAGATTTGTTCATTGATACAGGGTTGGTAATGATGAAATACCTATTTATTTTGGACAGATGACCATGCTTGAGAAGACTTCACTTAAAACAATAGTTCTCAAATTTAACTAAAATGGAATGTTCTTCCTCAGAGATGAGAAGGAAGATAAATGAACCAGCCCACACCTGTTTCAGCCACCTTCATATATAAGGGTTCTTCCCTTACCTGTTTTATATTTGGGGATTTGATGTAAGAATTCATTTGAAAACAACATGCCATTACTTTAAGGGAAAAATTCTTTTTTTAATGTAATGTCTCATTAAGTATGGGATCAGTTCTTAGTAAGGCAAGAGTAAAATCTTTTTTTACATACATGGATGATTTTCTTTTGACTGATTCCAAGAAAAAACTTAACTTCTCAAAAATGGTACCTGTGTCTATTTCTTTGTCACATACTTTAAGGGAAATGCCTATAGAGTATTAGTTAAAAAAAAAAAAAAAAAAGTCCAGCATTTATATTTGTGAGTGATAAAGATCTTATTTTAAGAAAAAAAAAATGCAGCCCTCAAGGTTAAAGGCATAATTAAAATATTTCCAAACTTGGACCCTCCCTGGTAGCTCAACAGGTTAGTACTCAGCACTGCAAGCTGGCTTCAGCCACTTCAGTGCGAGTTTGATCCTCTGCCCTGGAGGTGATCCACATAGCACAGCAGACCTCCCCTCTCTCGCCTGCTGCTCCGCTCAGCAGTGTACTTCATCATTCTGCCTTTTCTGCTCCCCACTCTGTCTCTGGTGAATCCTCTCACTGCCCCGTACCTCTGGCCTGTACCCAGCCCTGTATGCATAAATAAATAAATCTTTAGGGCCCTTCCTGGTGGCACAGCAGGTTAAAGTACAGCACTAAGAAGCTAAAGCCA